TTGCTCCCTTTTCCACTTGATAAATTTGCTGCAGATGCCTTTCCTCTATCATCCATTTCGTTCGGCCAAACGCCTTCTTCAACCACCACATACACAGACACATATTTATCTCCAACGCCATTTATTACCTTCATCAGCTTTCTAATATCACGATCATCAACAATACCACAATAATAGAGTTGTTCTGGATGTTCAGAGGCCAAACTAACTTTTGATTCTTCGGGAAGACCCATCTTGCACTTGACCAACTGAACAAATTCGGTGAACGTTGTGTTTTCGTAAAATTCAACACCTAAATAAAATATTCTCGGATTGTATCCCAGTGGCCAAACATATGATAATTGGGAATTAACAAACTCCCATCTTCCATCCGTAATAAGCAATACAAAATACTCATTACAACTCATTATCTTAATTTTGAGGATAAAGAAGCTAGAGAGAATAAACTTTCCAAAAATATAAAATACTTAATATATATAAGATAGGTTGAAAACATTAGTCAACTCTGACGAAAAAGTAGTCAAGTTTAACAAAAAAGTAGTCAAATTTAGCAACAAAGTAGTCAACTTTACCCAAAAAGTAGTCTACTTTTTTCGTCAGAGTTGACTACTGTTAAAATTAAAACAAAATAATTCAAACCAAATAATTGTTAAAATTTAAACAAAATAATTGTTAAAGTTATTGTACATATTATAAACACTCTTTTTTATACTCTATATTACAAAAAAAAAATAGTAAAAAAAATAAAAAAATAAAAAATTAAGACCGTAGTTTTTTGGCCAAAATAGTAGATAAAACCCCCCAAAATAGTAGATAAAACCCCTCTAAAAAAAACCGTAGCTTTTTTTGCGAAAACCGTAGCCTACGGTTTGGGAAACCGTAGGTTTTAAAAAACCTACGGTTTTGAATGTCAAAAATGGAAAAAAAAATTATACAAAACGCGAAACAGTAGAAGAAATGGCGAAACAGTAGGCGAATCTCGAAACCTACGGTTTCGTGGGCTATTTTTGGTCATTTGCTAATTTTTGGCTAAAAATTGTTAATTACCCCCTTAATTTGGCTAGATTAGTAATTACCCCTATATATATATATATATATATATATATATATATATATATATATATATATATATATATATATTCTTTTAGCATATATGTACAATAATTGTGATTATATAACAAGATATTAGGATAGAGTAACAAGTAAGTACAATTTCTATCCTAAAACATTGCCAACATTACTTCTAGGTATTATGTTATCCTAGGAAAACGGCCAGCATAACGACTATGTATAATCATTTTCTAGTATATCGAGTACCATAACGATTAGACAAAATATCATTGCTTAAAACTAGGAGGAGTTTCTACCAACAATTTATCTTATCGTTTCATGTTATATGTATAAACTACTAGTATATTTATAAAATATATTTTGACAAAGCAGTTTGATAATCATGCATTCCCCCCTGTAAAATCCTTTAAAACTTTAATGTGCGGCCGTGAACTCATCCTTATAGCGTGATCATGCCGACTCTGACTACTGCATCCAAAGCTTCACGCCATCAGGAGGAGCAAAAGAATACTGAATTTTCGAGAGAGAGAGAGAGAGAGAGAGAGAGAGAGAGAGAGAGAGAGAATAGATTTTTGGGATTTGGAATTTGAGAAGTGGAAGGTTCTATTTATCGGACTTATGCATGCGGCGCACCTTATGCGTGTTGTGCACATGATTTGTGGCTCCAACTAAAACTTGCCACAAGTCACACTTCTGGTGGTTCACGTCTCTCAAATCTCGACGAATCCTGGTGTCAGGTATGCATGTGGTGCATGTGGTGCACTTCGCGTGCTATTCAAAATTTTCAACAAAAAATTCTTATCTTCCTTATGTGAAACTTGTTTTTTACTCTCTTTATATAATTTTGTAGCTATCACTTAGTAGTACAACCTTCCTTAAGGTTGTGTTGTCAAATTTTAACTATTACTTTTAACCCGCATTTTATGTTTTTCCAAAAAATCGTATCTTCTTTATACAGACTCTATTATTGACATTTTTATTCTCAAAGTTCTTATCTCACGGAGTACTACAATTTTCCTTTTAATGACTTTAACCAAAACTCAACCGATTTCTTTATACCATTTTGACGTTAATAACGATAATAACGCGATTGATTTTATTTCTTTACAAAATCATAAAGCCTCCAATCGGAGTCAGATTTTATGAAGTTTATATCCTTGGGATTACGTTGTTGTGTACTTTCCAAATACACTAACCATTATTAACAGCGGTATGACCTTTTGGTCTCTCATTTTTTACCCTATTAACTTTTTCCTACTTATAAGTCATAGTATATCTGATCATATTTTTCTGTAATACAAAAAAACTCTATTGCTTCCATTTGTCTATGCTAATCTCTTACTAACGGTTGTTGACGGAAATTTCCAAGTTTTCAGATCGATTGACTATCAAATCTTGGATTATATACGACTTGCATACACAAGGAAACTCTAGAAGTTTCACACAAGGACCAAATGAAAAACAAGTATCCTCTACCATTCAATAATACACCAGTAGACAACAGTACTAGTTAAATTTCAGGAAGAAATTATCTTAATAGGGGAAGAATGTAACAATTATAAAAATTAGGTCTCGTTTAATGAACAATGTTAATTCCATCACTATTGCAATATACCTAATAAGTAATAATCAAATTATTTTGATCTTTATAAAGTTTTATACATTAAAATACATCCAAAATATCAATTAATTCTTCGATTGATATGAATTCCTGATAAACAAACAGTTTCAGTATACATAAGTAATAGGTTAATACATATGATTGAAAGAGATATATGTATGCAACATTTTTATGCACAAACAATAACATTAACTCGTAGCTCATGGAATTACGAAACTATGGACATAAAGAATGTCGAAAACGAAGTTTGTATGAGAGAGATATGATTTTCACAAAATCATTTATGCTACACCCCTTATAAAAATATAACTTAAAAATAGAATGCGAATTATCTATTGAAATCTAAAGGAAAGTTGTAGTACTCGCCGAAACGAATGTGTAGATATAAAGAACGTCAAAAAAGGAGCTCGTGTGCGAGAGTTGTGAATTTTTAAAGATTTCGAAAATACATGTTAAGAATAAGGCCAAAGCGGGACACGTGGCAACACCTGGTGCAAACTTACTCCTACGCCTGCACCACGACGTGGCACTCACATAGCCATAATGTGGAAGTAAACATTGACGAACTTTTTCCCTACACAAGAACCAGGACGTGGCACACATATGGCCACGGCGCAACGAGCACATTTTTATCCTATATATAGAAATCTAGGCTTAGTTCATTCTTGCACCAGAATCAGTTATCAGACTGATTTATTCCCTTCTTATTCCTTTGAAGTTTCTTTCCTTAAGTCCAGAGCGGACCAAAGGTTCTAATCACTTTCAGCGAGAGCTATTTCGGTTTAAAAGCATGCGACTAGGGTGAGTTTAAGGCCCCCACTTTCAAACCTTTTTTACGATTTTCGAAGGAGATTACATGCATAAACTATTTCTAAGATGTTATATACTCATATTTTATATATCTAAAACAATGTCAAACCTATGTTTACAAAACAAAGAAAATAGGGTAATATTGTTAAAGTTATGGCTATCCAATAAATATAGTAGTGTTGTACTATCGAACCTCTGCCTATCAATCAAATATAGTAAGGTTATACTTTCGAAACACTTCCGAAATAACTTTGATGTTAGGACACTAGAACTACAACTAGAACTACAATACTTTTCTGATTTATATGAACTACAATACATTTATGGTTTATATGAACAATATTAATCAAACTAAGTACTAATTACTTAGAAAGACTGTTGGCTTATAATCGTTAATCATGGAGAGAGAGAGAAAAAAAATTATGTATAGATTTGTATGGGTTAACACCCCTACATGTGGTTTCTAGCTACAACCTAGACTATCGATTCCAAACATGATGATTTTTTATATTGGTGTGACGTCTGATGAAGCGTCAGGAGGAGCATATCATTTTGGCAATAGTTTGATTATTGGACCTCATAGTAAACATAAAATTCATTATATATATATATATATATATATATATATATTATATATATATATTATATATATATATATATATATATATATATATATATATATATATATATATATAGGCTAGGAAACTACATATATACATAAAAAGTATACTTTTCAGTTTCGAAAAGTACATATCAAATACATAACATGCATATTTTGAAGTAAAAGTACATGTTTATTCAGATATTACAAACCTGTGAACTCACCAACTTTTTAGTTGACACTCTTTCAAAACGTATGTATTCTCAGGGAACTAAGCCGATGGAAGATATACTCTCAAAATAATCATGGATTGCAACCTATCTTTTAAATTTCAGTACTTGTAGGTTGCCTAATGTTAGGGCTTATAATATACCACTACTAGAAAACAACCCTTTAATGACACGCAAACAATGACACTCAAGGATTTATGATACGCATTTTTTGCGTGTCCTAAAAATATTGCCAGTTTCTATAATATGAAGGATAGAGGACAAACATTTTTGTGTGTCCTAAATTTAGTGTCCAACAAAAAAAACACTGAGGGCACCAATCATAAAAGGTGTGCCGTGTAAATGTTTCGTTTTATATTTTTTAGGAAGGTGCGTTCTCAGTTTTTTTAATAGCCTATGGGGAAATGAAATTCCAAAAAATTAAACACCCCGCCTGATGCATCTCCTTCTTCTCCTTCTAAAATCCTCTACCAAAGAACCCTAATAATCCTTTTGAAGCAGCCCATCTTCCTCTATCTCTTCACACACACACACTCTCTTTCTCTCTCTCTCTCTCTCTCCATTTTCTTTGCAAGCCCTAAGCCGTCACCACCAACATCGAACCCCATGAGCTTTACGAGTTCGGAGTGCATCTAGAAACCTAAGCACACACTTCCGCCATCTCAAGATGTCGGTTCAAGATCGGAATGCCACATCGCAATCCACGATGTCATCATCTTCTCCACAAACCGCCATCAACGGCGAAGAAAACGAATACGATTGGGTCTGGAACGAAATCAAAGCCGAAGCTCGCCGTGATGTCGAATCTGAACCATCCCTCGCCAGTTACCTCTACTCAACCATCATCTCCCACTCATCTCTCACACGCTCTCCCTCTTTTCATTTAGGAAACAAACTCTGCACCTCCACTCTCCTCTCCACCCTCCTCTACGATCTTTTCCTCAACACCTTTTGTTCCGACCTATCTCTCCTCTCCGCCACCATCGCTGACTTACGCAAATGTCTTGGTCAAATATTCTTTGATAAAGATGAAAACATGAAATTTTTAAAAACAGAATGTTGTGTATATTTCGGTCATCGCAATGACTATCACTCTGATCATTTATTTCTGTGATATGGTTTTTGTTGTGTATATTTATAATAGACCATGGTTGAGAAGGTGCTACTTATGCTCCGAGATCCTGATTTCCTTGTTCGATTTTCCCTAGCAAGAAGAATTGGTGTTCTTTTCCAAACGTGGGATGGCCATGATGAGCTCTTCCAGGATATACTGTATATTTTTAAGCATAACATACTTTTTCAATATATTATTTTCTAGCAAATTTCTACATAATGTTAGGGTCGTGTTTGCACTTAGAAAAAAAATTTAACTAACAAATAGAGTCTTGATATTTCTTGGATGAAGAAACCTTCTTGTAGTTTTGTGTCCTTAAGTTTTTTGATACTGAGAATGACCTCACCTCATATACACCTTTGTAGCTACCGATGTCTAATATCAAGTACGAAAGAGATTAAATTCCAGATTATGTTTCTCCATTTTCCAGGTCAAATTTTAGTGTAAAATTGGTGGTGTTGTTTAAGGATAAGCTCGCTAAAGCCAATAAGGTTTTAGCTTTTGGTCATCAACCACGCCCTTGAAGGGTTTTGAGCACTATAACAACCTTAAGGTGCACATACAACCCTAATGCTTTGGATCTAAGTTTTCTCAAGTTATACATGCAAACAATTTTTTCCAAAGCATGAAGCCTAATCTATCATACAAAATGACATATGAATCATAAAACTAGTTATAGAATTACCTCTTGTTGTAGCTTGATATGTTTGGCCTTTAAGAACTTAGCACCCCAAGTGTGATGCCTCAAATGGTTCACAAAACACCACCAACAACTTGGAGAACTTGAGAGAGGTTACTATGCACTCAAAATCGGCTCTATGAACTCTAAGAACACCAGGGTAACCGATTTTAGGCCATGGGGTCATACATATATAGTGTAGGAATCCAAGGGTCATGTGTAAACCCTAATCCATACACTTGGGCTTGTAATGGACTAACACATTATGGATTCTTACATAAGCTTAGCCCATTACTAATCCACCATGGATTATTAGCCCAACCTATATATATATATATATATATATATATATATATATATATATATATATATATATATATCATTGATTAACATAATCAGCCCCTATATATTTAATTAGTCTCTTTTGATCACTAAATTAATTCCAAATTAATTCTTGACCAATACTAATTAAATAATATGATTCCTCTATTATATTATACTTATAATATATTAATGAATCATAGATAATCTCTTTCTCAAATGTTCATCCTATCAGATTGTATTGGTGAATGCAACCCAAAATGGACCATGCTACTCTCGGGTCAAGTACATACCAATTATAGTGATGGACATAGACACCTTATCCAACAGCCCTATCATGGAAACCATCATTGTAACCCTAGTGCATCTTGCCCTGCACTATGAGAAAAGTGAGCTAGAGGTATTTAAATACTCTTAAATCTTATAGAATTTTTTTTCTTGTGAAAAATATTCACCATGTGCTCTATTTTCTTATCTGACTGGCTTAATTTTTATGGCATTACAAAAGCAAATTTATGTAGAAATTGTGTAATAATCATCAAGTTTTTGGACCAACTTTTCTTTGGTGGGGAACTGTACGCTTCTATTGACATTTTTAATTTCATGTAGGCTGTTTTTATGATCTGTGTTATTGCTGCTATTGATTCCTCCTAGAGTTACTATTCTTGTAGTTATATGTTAACCAACCAAAGCCTATATACTTTTCTTCAACATGTCAACATGCAAATACATATTACTACAATTGCTTTTCTTTTTGTGCAGAAGAATAAATGGGACTTCTTTGTGTTTCTATTATTGGGAACTCTGACTTTAGTGATAAGTGCAGTGGTTGCCATTCATAGTATGTCCATATTCTAAACCAATAACTCTCTGATACCTGTCTTTTTTTTATTAAATATCTTTATCCCATAAAATGACAGGAATGTGGACATCAATACCTCCATTACAAAATGAAGAATCTTGGATTCATCATGTGATTTTTAAACAACCTGGTGCTGCCACCTTTCTTTTTATTGATTTCTTTATCTTACTTGCGGCTGGAACTTTGATCGTCATACAAGCCTACCAGGTAATATTCCTATTATACCCTTGAGTAAAACCAAATCGTGAGATTCTGTTAAAGGGTATTATAGTCAATACACTTTGTGAGATTGGGTCAATGTTAAAAAATGGTTTTCAAGAGAAAGCATGGAGCTTTTTATAATCTTGAACATTGAAGGTATGTTATCTGAATGCAGATTATTCGAAACATAACATGGATTTGTAGTAATTTGTTGATTACTGTTTTCAGGTTGAGGCTCTTGATTTAGGAAAAAGCATTCTTGATACAGTAGCAGAAGTTGCAGAAGATTGGAAACTTGATGATATAAAGGGACTCCTTGGACGTTGTAATTTCAAGGCTGATATGTTAGATAGGAAAGTCTCTCTATTAAGTGCTGGTGAAAAGGTACATATTTTTTGTTCCAAAACAAAAGGGCAATTTGGTCTTTTTCCTCATTGATTGATATAATATTATTTTTCTCCCTTTCTTTCCCAATATTTTGTCTACTTTCATTTCTAAAACAAAAAGGAAAATTTTCTTTTGTGAAGTACGTGGTGGTGTTCAAAGTTTTACTAGTTTTAAATGTCTAAAATACCCTTTCAATAATAATGGGCAAATAAGTAATTTCATAAACATAATTATGCTTTGTGGTTATATAAATCCAAGTATCCACTTGTGAAGATGGGGCAAATGGTTTACAAACAGAATTTTCTTTAAAGGTTTTGATGTTTACTTTATCATCGGATTGCAAAATATGGTACTGAAAAGAAACCCCTAAGATAGTTACAAAGTGTTTGCATCATTTTCACCTTGGTTCCATATACGAGTGGATGGAAAGAAGTGAAAGTTGCTATGTTTGTGGAAAGGTAATGTTTCACTTTGATTATGGAAGTGTATTTAAGATGTTTTCTTCATGGCAACAACTTTTGATATTTTGGGTCTTGTAAGTGATGGCATTGGTCCCACAAATTGGTCTCTTAAAGAATTTTCAATACTTGTAAGTCATTTTTTTCTAAACTAATACTTCTACTTACATTGTTTTCGGTTCTTTCCATTTATTTATATTTACAATTACCACTTTTGATGATGTTTCTTGATTGTTTTCTACAAGGAATTTACAAAAATAACATAAGTGGCCCAATTCCAAATGATCTTGAAAATTTGACAAATTGAGTGAGCTTATGTCTTTACCTTAGTAGTTTCTTAGGGCCATTTCTTGTCACATTGGGCAAGTGCAATAAATAGCAATATACTTTGCTATTTCTTGCAAAAATAAGTTGCTATTTCATGCATTTAGGCCTTTTTGGTTAAAATACAAGAAATAGCAGCATACCTAATTGATTTGATTTGAAAAAAAACATAATTTACTTCTTTTAACTACATAACTCATTTTATGTCCCCAAGTGCAGGAAACTTGTAGAAAAAGAGTCAACATTGGTTGAGTTGATGCATCTTCAAGTGGTGACGTTGCAAGGCTTACTCACGGGTTCCTTTTAAGTTTGTACATGTTTTGTTTTTCTATAATAAATATTGTGCAATATTAGCAATGTATTACATTTACTTACTATTGGAGAGATTATTTGTATTTGACATCTTAGTGCAATGAATCATCTTCCTTGTTTATGGTATTTTATTTTGTATTATGAGACTTTTAATGTGTTATTTAATTTGAAAATTAGTAAATCTATCAAAATGTATAATTTTTAAAACATTTAAAATTATGAAACACAAAAATGTGTGTCGTCTTTCTTTATGACAGGGGCTTTAATGATACGCAATGCGAGTCGTAAATTGTAACACACCAGTTTTCAAGTAATTTTGAAATCCATCCCTTGAGTTTTAACTATGTCACTTTTGGTCCTTGGTTTGGAATGAAGTGGCCATGAGAAGCCCTAGTGGCAAAATGGTGATTTATAGAGCACGAGCTGTATGTTGGACGTACATGTGAGTACGCTAAGCGTACTAGGACGCGCTTAGTATGCTGGGCATACGTATATGTACGTATGGCGTACGTATGTCCGGATGAAAACCCTAATTCTTGATGTTGGTGGGGTATTTAAGCATCTTATGGACCATTTCTCCATTTTTTTCCAGCCTCCAAGTCCATGGGTCATTTTGGCAAAACCCTAGCTTCTCTATAGTGTATGTATGAGCTAGGAGTGTGCTTCTTGTGTGGTTGGAGAAGAAGAAGTTGAATCAAGGTGATTGAAGATTAAAGCAAGCTTGTAGATATTGGATCAACACTTCCTGAAGAAGCTCCAGAAGGTAAAAAGCTTCTACCTTTGTGCTTGGATTGCTTAGATCTTGTTGTAGTAGCTTTTTGGTGTTCTTCTTGTCCCAAAAATCCCATTGTTATGCATGCTTCGTTTTGTACGTTTTGGACTGTCCTTTCAGACCCTAGGATGGGTTATAAGACATAAAAATGAGGTCCCTTAATCTAGTTTGGTCCCTTTTGTAGGAGGTCTTGATGGATTAAGACCATGTATTTAAGCCCTTTTTGGTCGACCAAAGTCTTAAAGTTTGAGACTTTATGGTTCTAGAGTGCTTTTGAGTCATGGATCTGAAGTTTAGGCTTAAGTGCTTAAGCCATTAAGCACTTAAAAATGTTTTTGGGCTATGCGAGGGTACGCCCCGCGTAGGGAGGAGTACCCCCACGTACTTGGTCAGCCTCCCCGTAACTTGGTCAATGCGAGGTCTCGTGTACGTTGAGCGTACCTCCGGCGTACACTCCGCATACGCGACTGATTTGGGCTCCTTTGCTTTAGGCCTCGGGTATTGGGCCATCTGTTGGGATTTGATACTTGGGCCCTAATGGACTATCTGGAAAGGTGTATTTTGGGCTAATTAGAGGATCAGACCTTTGGATAAGGCCCGATAAGGAGTTGGGGCCCAATTTGGAAAGTTGGGCCAAGTGTGGACCTTGAAGTAACTTGGGCCTTTTTGGATCAAGATTCGGTT